CCGACAAAGTTCTTTGTTGTATGTTTTTGTTCGCTTTTTTGGCCTTGACCGTGCACAAAACACACTAGTTGTTTACTCCGTACTGAGGAACTAACCAATAGAAACATTTTCGTTACGCAATTCATGCATAGTGTATGAGCGCAAAACAAAAGATTGTGCACAGTCGAGGACCTTCCAACAAAAATCTTGAAATCTTTGTTTGCTCCTTTGATGTTTGCCGGGCCTCATTACCAGTTCCCTCTATTAACTATGGTTTCAAAGCCATAGTTTCTTGTGGTTGTTTCTGTTGCAAGTTAAATAACGTGGTTTTGTTGCGTTAATGAGTTTAACTGAAATTTTCGTTTTTCCTTGTAGGAAATAGCAGAGTTAGAAAGACTGGAGTGCTTGAGACACCTTGTTGAACTGTCTGTTATCAACAATGCGGTGAGTTCCAGAGAGGAATAACTATCATCGAACTTAGTGTGTATGCTCTCCTCTGCTGTGCAGGGCCGGGTTGTTTGAAAGCCGGTGAACGCTAACCCAGGATTATAAGTTAACAGAAGTATTAATCTTTATTGTATAAAAATGTTTTTCACTACCTATAGTTTGTAGTTTGGGATTATTCAAACTCAAAAGTGAAGGACCAAAAAATATAAACAGAAAACCTCACCGAAAGTAGTCACAAAACTGAAATCAAAATTCTCGTTAGTCCTGGGTCAGCTTATTGGGCTTTGAACTACCCGGCGTAGGTGGTTTTCTTTTCGTCTTAGCCTGTAGCCTCTGTTTTCGGGGTGGAGGGCTAATGTTTTCTTGACTACGAGCTTTACATTAATATATATTTTGTGCGCCCTCGTCAGGTGACTCGGCGACTTCTTCACAGACCTCTGCTGGTTTACCGTATGCCCAACCTTTTGTGTATTGATGGGATCCCTGTGTCAAATGACGAAAAGACCAAGGCTGAACTGTACTATCTTGAACAACAGGTTTGTTGTCAATTCCGGCGACTGTTACAAATTCTCGTTTTCTTCCTCGTTATTGCTAAATGTTTGTGCTCTTGACGTTAAGGCTAGGTTATAGAGGTTTTGCACGGCAGCCATGTTGCATGGCAGGAACAATAGATTCCTTTTCCTATGGGAAAAAATGTTCTTTCTAATGCAAAACATTTTCATTGTTCCCGCCATGCAACATGGCTGCTGTGCAAAACTTCTATACGGGCAGTGTTTTTCGTGTAACTTTCCTTGCAACGATTTTGCACGTCGCACGGTTTCACAGTTTTCAAAAACGTTGCGAAGCATCATTTTCGCCTTTGACCGCACAAGGTGTGCACGTCCTGGTGTTCACTGGTCACTTTTCAGCTCAAATAAAATTAACGGAATTTGTTAGCTAGAGAAAGTTAGATAGCTGTCCTCTTGTGTCATGTGACCTGTCATGTGACCTCTCCCCTGACTTTTCTTGGCAGAGTGGAATGCAAAGTATGACGTCAGCACTGGAGCCTAGTCTCCCAGGAATCGTCACAACACGTTCGCAGGCCCCGCTTCGAGTAGGTTAAACCACACCTTCTTAGAATGGTGGAAGTTGTTTAGAAAATGATATTGTACTGGTCTTTGTACTGTGTAAGCAGTAAAATGCCAGTAAGATCTTTACAATGTTTCTTTAGGTTTTGATCTCAGAAAGGAGTGTCAGTCATTGAAGCTTGTTACTTGTAGGTTGTGGCTTTATGCTTTGCTGTAAGATAAAATGAGTAAGAACCATTATTTTAAGTGTCAATACATTCTTATGCATTACCAGCACTAATTGGGGATACTAAGGTAAAAGTATGCGAGACGTTTTTCTTGGAAGATCTCAATTTTTCAGAAAAGGTCCCATTCCCATGTAGTCACGTGTTACGGAGAGCTTTAGGAGTATTTATCGTGGAAACACTATCAAACCGTTTCCAGTAACGACCGTTGAGTGGGGACTGGGTCCGTTCTTTCCTCGGCAAGTTGAAAGAAAAGTAACAAAAATAAACTTGAATATACATTATTTTGGGAGTAACTGGTGAATTAACTGAGAATGTAGTGAAAGAATATCGGAGGAGAGTACCAGAGTGTTTCCTCGCGGTATTTAGTTCCATGTTAGTATTTTCATTGATTCGCTTGATGATGGCTTGATTTTACAGGTAACCACAGTCCAGCTGAGTAACACCACAGACCGTAATTTAGCCAGCACTGGGCTCAGACAAGACTTCCCTAATGGTCCTTTACTGAGGACGTTTGAACAACAGCAAGACAAAGGTACAAAGAACACAAAACACAGCCTTCGTACATTTTTGGTGCGAAACTTAAAACGTTTACAGTAAGGACTCTCGAACTGTGAACACTTGAAATTTGGGGAAAAATTCAAGGATAATATGCGATAAAATATCGAGGAGGAAAATCGTTAATTTTTGCGTTGGAATTAACGGGATATGTGGGATACGCAGAGCACCCCTCCAGATGTTTGTGGCCCGTTGGTGACCGGATTAACGGGGCTCCACTGTATATATATATAAGCTCATTTCGAGATGATACTTGTATGGATAACGTAAATGAACTCTTGGAGAGGTTAGAGCAAACACCGTTTTCACCAGCTGTCGTATTAAGCAATGATATCATAGGCGGATTTCAGGACATCGCCAAGGGGCCTCCTTCCCTCATCTCTCGTCTGGAAAATGTGAAATCTGTAGCACCGTATGTTATTTCTACAGCCCGTTTGTTTATTCTATTATTCACAGCGCGTCGTCGCGGGGGAAACGCGCGTGGAACCTCGAGTCACTCGCTACAAACCCTGTCGACGTCCGACTCCTCCCACAGCCTGTCAGGAGACAGGTATGGACGTACTTCCAGTAGCCTTAATCCTCAACAGTCGGGCGTTATCAGCAGGCAGCCCCAGACCTCCTCGTCCGTGCCCTACATAGCGCACGGGTCTTACTCACCTTATAACATGAACGGCGACGTCACTGATATCAGCAGGTGAGATTTCGTGGTAGAACACGCTTGCAGGCTGCGAAGTTGTATTGTAAATTCCCATTTAAACAGCTCTCTACTTTCCCTTCTACGCCAATGGCTGCTTATTGCAAACGAGCCAAATGGCTTGTGTAAACGCAGCCTCGTTCCTAGGGTCCTGAGAGAGGACCCCTGGGAACGAGTAATATGTTCTTGACACGCGCCATCTTTACGCATGCGTATCACGATCTTCACACACAGCGTCTCCTATTTCATACTATTTCGTGCCTTCATTGCTAGTCTCTCTTGTCCGTCTTGTCTATCTTTATTGTTCTTATCCCTCCGCCCTTGTCTTTTCTTTACAATCTGTGTGCTTGACGCAGAGAAAACAGGCGTGGCAGGGGAAATTTGGCATTATTTTTGCTCTTTTTCGTTTAGGACCAAAAGTAATCGATTCAAGTAGAGGGCAAATGAGGAATCACCTCTCGTCAACACCTGCCGTGGTCACGTGGCCCAAGAGACGAAGAGTTCTGACTAAGGACGCATACACCGCAAATGGAAGCCAAAAGAAGTTTGGTCTCCACAACTCAAAGTGCATAAAAAAACAGACATAGCGTGGTTCAGAGCACTCGCCATTTCTTTGCTGTTGTATCCCATTTAGTCATCAGTCTCCTCCCGTCTCTAATCAAAGACGAGACGCCAGGGTCGGGTTGCTAGAAAGCTGGTTAGCGCTAACCCAGGATTAAAAGTTAACCGAAGTATAAAAATTCCTTGTACAAAATTTTTTTTTTACTGCTTAGGTTTTGTTTAGTTTGAGATTATTCAAACCCAAAACTGAGGAACAACACGATATAAACAGAAAACCTAACCAAAAAGCTACAAAACTGGAATGAAAATTCTCTCAAATCCTGGGTTACGTTAATCGGGCTTTGAAAAACTCGACCCTGGGTATAAAAGACAGTCGGAATAGGGAGACTGGGGCATTTAAGATTGTTCTAACAATTTTAAGGAATTGTTTCTCCAGTCTGTAAATAACGTTTTTTTGTCATAGTTGTCAGCTTGGATAAAACCTTGTATTTATACTTTTATTGTCCGTCTTACCCTTCCGTGATGTTTTCTTTTTAATTTTTCTCTTGTTTTCTTTGTTCTTTTTTTATGCCCCATACCGTATCAGGAAGTATTTATTGTAAATATTACAAACTGCGTCGGGTACATTTGACACCACAGAAAATACCATAAACTGCCGCTTATAAACCCTGGGCTTTTACAACTTTCGTAAGGGCTTATAAACGGAGGGGCTTATATCCGAGGGGGCTTATAACCGGAATAAAACAACTGTTCCCAAACAAGCCATAGCTTCTCCTGTTAATCGAAATAGGTTCTTCATTTACTGGTAATTAAGCTATAAAACATTAGAATAAAACCAAGAAAGCGAGAGGGGGTCCTATCCGGGGGGGGGGGTATAACCGGATGCATTATTCGGTTTACAGGTAGGTAGATCTAAAACCGGGCGGGCTTATAAGTGGCAATTTACGGTAGGTTTAAAGTAAGGTTAGTATAACTGTCAATAAAAACTCGAAGATTGTCAAGATAATGTAAGAACGTGCGGACACTGGGTTCCATTAAAAAAAGGTCTGTTACGCCGAACTATTCTCTGTTCGTTTGGCAAGTCTTTCATGGTGGTGTTGTAATGTAATTCGTTCGGAGCCAGAGTACACCAGTTTCTTTATCCCGTCCTAAATAAGCGTGTGTTTGAATATCATCATCAGCCCCCACTTTCCATTTCGCCGAAGCGGCTCGCGCAATTTCAGCTTTTTGAAAAACTCACTCGTGCAAATTAATTCCAAATTGAACTCGAAACCGTATAATTACCTATACTAATTTCGGAACTTTGATATCTGGCTGCTTAATAGAGCGTGGCCGCTTAATAGGGGTTCGACAGTATAAAGAATGAAGTCTTCTGTGTCTCAATGAGCTTGGTGGGGGTAATGACTTGGTGCGATACTATTCACAGTCTTTTGCAACTGTCTTCAGATCTGGACGAACGTCTTCACAAGTTCGTGCTGCACAATGATATCGGCCCAAGGACATGTAAACAGAGCGTCGAATCGGTCATTGTAATATCAACGAGTGTTTTTTTTTTTTTTTTTTTTTTT